CCCCCCCCCCCCCCCCCCCCCCCCCGTGTTTGTATTTTGGGTTGGTTTACACTTGCACATATTCAGTTTTCAGTTTTCCCCTTTACAGTCTTCTCCCCTCACCTCCAGGACCCTCCCCCTTTTTAAAAAAATAAATCGCTGACAAGTGTGAATCCCGTGAAGATTTTATTTTGTGTTGTGTGTATCCTGTACAGCAAGGTTTGTCCTTCGTAACAACGGATGAAATGATTCCCTTTTTTAAAGCGCCCTTTTTCCTCCACCCCCAGCGCCCCTGTCCTTGGCATGTTTTGTATCAGCGATCATTCTGAAATGTACATAATTTATGTTGCGAGAGGCAAAGAGCAAGTTTTGGATTTTGCTTCTTCCAAGTTTGTTTTTAAACGACAAATAAAAAAAGAACATTTTAAATACAAGCGACTCGGTCCCATCACCCTCGCCGTCCACCAAATCTGAGGTCAGCGACAATCCGTGGGAGGGCTGCTCCCGAGGCCAGGCCACCGGCGGAAGGGCGGGCTCCCCGCTTCCGCTATTTTCTGGCGTCTGTTTTCACGCAACGGAAGTGGCATTGCGGTGCCGGACGTGGGGCGGGGCCTACTGAGCTTCCTAAAACGAACGAGTCAAGCCGGAGCCTCTTGCAATGGAGACGGTGAGGAACACGAAAGGGCGTTGGGGGGCGCTGTGGAGCCTGAGACCCCCCCCCCCCCCCCCTCAGGGGACCAGGACCAGCTCATAGAGCTAAGCAAGGGCTGACGGTGGTGCGGAGCTAGCGACCACAGGACGGGCATCTACCCTGTCCCGTGACCCTGCCCCTTTGCGCCTTCGCTGGGCGCATCTCCTAGAACTGGGCCGCGCCGTTGCTCTCTCTCCTCCCGAGCAGGCAGGACTCGAGCTTCCTGTTGAAACTCAGACTCGCCCCGGCAACCTCAGCCCTAATAGCATTTCAAACTTAAGGGTTTTCTCTTAGCAAGGTTAAGATCCTGTTTCCCTAGATGGGGCTGTAGATGGCTGTTCGGAGGAACTCGGCTTGCTGCAGGTAGCAAGCACCTGGTCCACTGTTGTGTGACTGATCCCTGAAATCTCGGGCAGGAGGGACATCTGAAAGACTTTTTCACTGCCTTGTGCCCAGCGAGTTCACATTTCCTTAATAAGACCCCAGAAAAGGTACTAGTTCCGTGTTAGAGACCATTGTGTCCCTGGTTACGTTTAAGTCATGCTAGTGTTCGCGATTCTAAGCAGGCATGTTGGCAGAACTCATTCTTGGCAGGTCCCTGTCACCTTCCCAGAGATGCCTGCTACATGTTGGGGTCCCCCTCGCCCTCAGGAGCCTTTTTCTAGAACTCTGGAGCCCTTCCCTTCAGTTCTCGCTCTACCGTTTTAACCCTGTATTATTCACTGGCAGGCAGTCACTTTTCCCATCTTGGTTTTATCATCTGCTACTGTAATTGTGTGGCGCTGTGGGTTAATGCGCCAAACTGCAAGCCGTTTGAATTGCAAGGTCGGCGGTTCAAGCTCACCAGTCGCTCCTCAGAAACCCTCTACAGGATCGCTATGGGTCAGAATCGACTCGACGGCACTTAACAACAACTGTAATTGTGAGGGTGGCCCAGGACCAGGATGGGCTCGCTGTGGGCTGGAACTGTAGTTGCGTAAGAGCCATCAATTCACCTTTCCTTGGATCAGTTTATATACCCAGAGTAATTCCTTTGCCTTGCCCTTTCTCTGAGGTTGTGTGCCTCAGGTTGTAAAGAACAGACCAAAGTACTAAAATGATTTGCAATTGGTCACCTAGGCAAGGAATACATTCCTACAGATTAAGAGAATTTTGAGAAACATTAAGGGGGTCTGATTCCATTACATTTAATACCTATTAAAATGTTTTCCCTGTGGATGTATTCTGCTTTACAAAGCATTTTGTAGTAAAATTTCATGTTTAGTCCTCACGCTTGATGTACTGAGTTATGTTTTCAAAATAAATTATTTTTAAAAGGAGAGAAAGAAAGCCCCTGCTTTGAAAATGCTCACTCTCTCTGGAGTTGGGGTAGCAAGCCATCATCCACTGCTGTTATATAGGATTGTTGTCAAGTGCTGTTGAGTTGTTTCCAACTGATAGCAACCTTGTATAGGGTTTCTGAGGAATGTCTGGTGAGTTTGAACTACCAACCTTGTGGTTCAAACTGACCCTGTTGTCCAGTACATATCTTATACCAGGACTCGTTATGTGCGATTGATTGTACTAAATGCTGTCATCAAGATGGAAACAAGGGACTGCGGAAACATTAAGGAGGGAGACTGGGGTTGAGAGAACAGTGAAAGCAAGAACATAAACATTGGAGTAGATAGAGAACAACTGGGGATGAGCCACGGACTTGATGGTGCTGTTGCTGTGGATTCTGATTACAGTGGGAGAAAAGTAGGCTGAGGTCAGGTTGAAGGTATTGCATACATACCATGCTTACTTTGAGCTTTGTTT